CTGTTACCTTGGCCATTGGAGATGGAGCTAACGATGTTGCCATGATACAAAAAGCCAATGTTGGTGTTGGCATAGCAGGCTTAGAAGGTCTACAAGCAGCTTGTGCATCTGATTATGCCATTGGCCAGGTAACACATAAAAGTTGATTTTTCTTGACAGAATTGTATTTTGTCAGTAGGGTTGTTGAATAATTTTTGTCTCCGTACAATTACACATTTTGGTAATTTGTCTTTCTGTCTCTCCAGTTCCGTTTCTTGGCCAGGCTGCTCTTTGTCCATGGAGCTTGGAATTATAGTCGCCTATGCAAGGTGATTCTGTATAGTTTCTATAAGAACATTTGCCTCTATGTTATTGAGCTTTGGTGGGCTGCAATGTCTGGCTGGTCAGGGCAAGTGATATTTGAGCGCTGGAGTATAGCTATGTATAATGTGGTAAGTATATTTGGGATGTCTCAAAGTAGATAGCAATATTCCTTTTAACCTAATAATTTATTCACTTACTCATTTAATCACTTGCACACTCTTGTTCTCTCAGTCTCTCCCTTGCTTACTCTTACTCTCTTACTCACTCTTCCATTCATTCTCTTACTCTCTCACACTCATACTCTTACTCTCTCTCACTCTCTTTCTCTCTGTTACTCATTCATTTGCTCTGTTACTCTTTCATTTGCTCTGTTACTCTCTCACTCTCATTCTGTTATCTCTCATTTTCTCACTCTCATTTTTTCTCGCACCGCTTTCCTCCCCCCCATCTCTCTCTTTCTCTCAATCAAACCTTATCACACATACCCACAATCTACACCTATTTCATTATCTACCCCTTATTTATAAACCCATAACCATCTACTGCATATACATAAACATTATGCATGTATGTATACTTGTACAGTAAGTCCCCAACTTAAGAACACAATGGGGACCGAGAGGCTGTTTGTAAGTTGATTTGTTTGTATGTTGAAAGTTGGGTCTCCAATACCTTTTTTCCCATTGTTTTAAAGTTTTGTTTACATTAAGAATACCTGTAAATAAATCCCAATAAGTACGGCATACCTTATACAGTACCAGACTCTTGAACTATATTCGTGCCCGGGAAATTTGAAGTTTGCTAGCATCTTTCAAACAATTTTTTGGACTTTAGTACTTAAAAAATATTGTTTGTATGTATGGAATGTTCTTAAGTAGGGGACTATCTGTACTTAAAAATTGCTATAGATGTACCTTTTTATATGTACAGTTCCTAGAGTAGATGATTATACTAAATGGATTTTTAAATGAAAAAATGGTGATTCTGTGATATTTTTCTTGGCAGTTATTCACAGCAGCGCCTCCCTTAGTCATGGGAATTTTTGACCGATCATGTAGTGCAGAAACGAGAATGAAATATCCAGAGCTCTATCGTGAATCTCAGAGTGGGTCTCACTTCAACTGGAAGGTAAGGTTTTTTTCCCCCTTTACTTCTGTTATGGCATTTAGCTATGCTTGTTTCTGAGGTTCCATAGAGTATGCTTTTCTTATGGCATTTGTCTGAAAGTTATTTGATATACATTGTTTTTATTTTGGTATTATTCATCATATTTGTATGATGTGTTTGTCCCATTTTGAAGTGCATTGTGGAACTGATTTGTGAAACCATATATATATTTTCTTAACAGGTCTTTGTATGGTGGGTATGGCTGGCGCTCGTACATTCTGTAATGGTGTTTGTGCTGCCTTACCTGGCCATGACTCAGGATGTTGCTTGGGGTCATGGTCTTGTTGGAGGCTACCTCATGGTGGGCAACATGGTGTATTCGTATGTGGTGGTCACAGTGTGTCTCAAGGCAGGACTGGAGACAGATGCATGGACCTGGGTGACCCACTTGGCTATTTGGGGATCCATTGCTTCGTGGTTCATCTTCCTGCTGGTTTACTCAAACTTCTGGCCTGTTCTGCCAATGGCGCCAGACATGTGCGGGATCTATCTCCAGGTACTGAGAAATGTTGGACTTCTTATTTATCTTTCTTTTTTATTTGTGTTTTGGTATGGGGTTTGTAATTGTTCTGTATTATTCATATATATTTGTGTGTGTGTGTGTGTGTGTGTGTGTGTGTGTGTGTGTGTGTGTGTGTGTGTGTGTGTGTGTGTGTGTGTGTGTGTGTGTGTGTGTGTGTGTGTGTGTTTCTGTGTGTGTGTGTTTCTGTGTTTCTGTGTTTCTGTGTATAAATATAAAAGAATATATATAATGAGTGTGTTGTGTTTGTGTGAGTATGTGCGTATATGTGTGTGTGTGTGTGTGTGTGTGTGTGTGTGTGTGTGTGTGTGTGTGTGTGTGTGTGTGTGTGTGTGTGTGTGTGTGTGTGTGTGTGTGTGTGTGCGCGTGCACATACATGTATTATATTATTACTGAAGATATTTTCTCACTCTAGTTGGAAGATACACAGTAATGAAGAGAATGCATTTTTTGTAATTAATATCTTTTGAGTTATCCATATTTTTTTAACATAATATGTGTAGTCTTTGCAGTGTAATGATTTTTTTTTTGTTCTAAAAATCACTTTTCCATCTTCTCAGGTGTATTCATCTCCAGTGTTTTGGTTTGGATTGATAATGATACCCCTGGCCTGCCTGTTGCCAGATGTATGCGTTAAAACGTAAGTATTCTTTGCTTCCTTGTGTTCATGAAAAATGAGAAATCTGGAGGAATAGGGACGTAAAGTCAGATGATGAAAGAGATTGTTGTCCATAGAATTACCTGATATAGGTTAGCACTTAGGCAGTGTATTACTCATAAGCATGGCTATTTGGTATTGCAGTACATGTGGCCCGCATTGTCAGTAGCTCTGTCAGTATTCATACTGTAGAGGATGGTATATTTTACAGTATCTTTGACTTTTGTAATGGCTAACTACGTAAGTCATATTCATGAAGCTTGAACGTAAAGAGATGGGATAATGGAATAGAGGTGATTTTTAAGTTCAGGAACACCTTTTATTAGTCATACAGATGTTCTATATCCTCAGTAATTACTTCAGTCTAAGTAAGTATGGTATTCCAACTCAGAAAGAGTATTCACTTAGGAGGACTTTTTGATAAATTTATTACTATAAAAGAGTGCATCTACTTTGGTTGATATTTTAGGGAACAGTTTACCATTTCATTACTCAAATTTTTGGTATGATTGAGATTTACAAAGAAGTCACTAGTAAAGAATTATATTCAGTATGATACAAGTCTGAAAAAAGTAGTAATAATTGCCAAGTGTTAACAGTATTTTTCTTATTTGGTATTTCAGGATACGAAACTCAGTATTCAAGAGTTTAACAGAACAAGTGCGTGAGAGCGAGATTAGCAACAAGGATGTATCGAAAGTTCTTGACACCAAACACAGGTAAGCGCTGAAGGCTTACCTGCACCTTCTTCCGCCCACCTGCCTCAGGCCACACCAACTTTGTGCAGCACGACCATCAGATGACATTAATTGGTCTGCCCAGCTCAGTGACCCAACCCATTTGCTGTGGTTCTAGGCTCCCCTCCACCCTATGCAAGCCTCCAGTCACACACCCCAAAAGAGCTTACCCATCCTCCCCATCCTCTTTGATGAAGAACCCACCATCCCATTCTACCAGGCCTGCCCAATCAGTGTTCAGGATGCTCTCCAGCCAGCCCTCCCCACCCTCCAAGTTGTGTAGCATGACTGGTCCACAAGCCTCACCTAGTTAGTCAAGTAATGTAGTAGCAAAGCAGTATTTCATTTCTCCATCTTCATTGATACCTTAGGAATGCTCTTGGCTGCTTCTCTGAATGTTTTTTTTTTCTTTTTTTCCCCATAATATAGATCAGCTAAATGTTGTAGATACAAGAATGATTCACATTGACATGCAAAAAAGAGAATTTAAAGACACCATTTATATTTGTGTTTTTTATATTAAAAAGATTAGTGCCTTGAAAAGTAACAGAGAAGATATATATATATATATATATATATATATATATATATATATATATATATATATATATATATATATATATATATATATATATATATATATATATATATATATATATATATATATATATATATATATATATATATATATATATATATATATATATATATATATATATATATATATATATATATATATATATATATATATATATATATATATATATATATATATATATATATATATATATATATATATATATATATATATATATATATATATATATATATATATATATATATATATATATATATATATATATATATATATATATATATATATATATATATATATATATATATATATATATATATATATATATATATATATATATATATATATATATATATATATATATATATATATATATATATATATATATATATATATATATATATATATATATATATATATATATATATATATATATATATATATATATATATATATATATATATATATATATATATATATATATATATATATATATATATATATATATATATATATATATATATATATATATATATATATATATATATATATATATATATATATATATATATATATATATATATATATATATATATATATATATATATATATATATATATATATATATATATATATATATATATATATATATATATATATATATATATATATATATATATATATATATATATATATATATATATATATATATATATATATATATATATATATATATATATATATATATATATATATATATATATATATATATATATATATATATATATATATATATATATATATATATATATATATATATATATATATATATATATATATATATATATATATATATATATATATATATATATATATATATATATATATATATATATATATATATATATATATATATATATATATATATATATATATATATATATATATATATATATATATATATATATATATATATATATATATATATATATATATATATATATATATATATATATATAT